ATAAAATGTCAAGAACTAACTCAAAATAGTGGGTGAATAACATGAAAAATCATGTGTAAAAATGAACCGAACAGGTACTAAACTGTAATTAACCCAAAATAATAAGCACCATAAGAGTGTACATCTTAAACTTGGTGTGTGATGACATAAATTTTGGGATATGCTCTTTGGTAACGGTGGAATTTATTGCAAATTAGACTATTTGATCATTAATTGTTTTAAATTTCAAATTTATGGGTGGGTTGTTCCCCTAATTCATTTCAAATTTCCAATTTCCAATTTATTTCTTTATTTTTATCAAAACCAATTTCCAATTTCATAATTGTTATGGTTTGAAATTAATTTGTTCAATCTTTCTCTCTATAATTCATCCCCATGCTTTTTTTTAGAAATTAATTTACCAGAGCTATACTATTTGGAAAATTATTTTGCAAATCTGGAAGACATGTTCTTGCTCCTATAATTCTTGATCCCTATGTTTTTGTTAGAAATTAATTTAGAGATATTTAGTCATATACCCATTTTTAGCACTAATGATAACTCTACACCATTTAATTTCTATAAACAAATTATAAAAAAACTCAAAAAATGACAGGTGGCCTTATCGAATTTAATTTTGATTATTAAATTACTTTGATGCCCTAGAATGTTTTGGGTTTTTTTAAAATGAGGTTTTGAGATTGAGCTTGTTTTAAGAAATTGATGTCAGTTTTGTAATTTATAAGAAGTTAAAAGCCTCTTTGTTATGTTGTACATGAGCTTTGGGTGTGTTTTTAAAGTCCATTTCATATAAGGTTTTTTTTAATTTTAATTTTTTATAATTTGGGTATAATAGTGAATCTCCCATTAATTTACTTATATATTTTGCCTCTAGGTAAATTACTGAACTTGCAAATCTTGGTAACTTAATATACATAAAAGTATAGGTAAGTTAATATGTAAATGGCTTATTTATGTACATACCCCCTGTGCTTTCAAAGTTGTCTCAGATTACCACATGTTCTTTGAAACCTCTCAAAATACCACCTACACTTTTAATAACTGTCTCACGTTATTTATTCCGTCAGTATTAAGGGACATTCCGTTATATAATGTGGGCCCCACTTCTGGGGGTATGGGTTTGCTTCTAGTTTCTTTCCGGAAGACAATGACACAGCCATTGTTGACAAAAGTAACAAGCTTTTCTCTTCTTCATCGTCCTCTTCCCCATCTCCTTCCTCCTCTTCTTCTTCTTCTTCTTCATAAAAAACATGCACAATTTTCAGACGAACCAATTCCAATAATCTCCTTCTGTCCAAAGCCCAATCCACAATTTCCATATGTGCCCTTTTGGTCTTAATCACCCTCTTCCTCTTCACCCTCTCAACCTTTGAACCCACAACCAAGCCTCACCCACTCATCACAACAGCCTTCATAAGATTTCTCTCCCAAAAATCTCCACCCACCACCAACACAGACCCCAAATTACTCAATAAACCTATCACATAACGGAACGTCTCTTAATACTGACGGAATAGGTAACGTGAGACAGTTATTAAAAGTGTAGGTGGCATTTTGAGACGTTTCAAAGAACATGTAGTAATCTGAGACAACTTTGAAAGTACAGAGGGCATGTACATAAATAAGCCTATGTAAATTAGTATAGTTTAGAATATTGTTTGTAAAAAGAAAAACATACGGTTGATCAACTTTCACATTGACTTCACTAGCTAGTTTGAAGTTGTCCGCTTCCAAGTCAAATCAAATTATGTACACTTGTTGGCAAATGACAGTGGCAGTCTTCTCATATCCGCTGCGGTGAATCTGATCCATAGCGCCATAATATCCCTCCCACCAAATTGTTCACCGCATGAGCAGCCATTGGCACGATAAGGCTGGAGGAGACGATGGTTGCATAACCATACACAAGCCCAACAAAAGTTGCCCTGCAACACGGCAGAAAATCATCAATCACTAAGCAATATTTTCAACACAGAATTCTCATGGAGAGTTCAACTACATAAATTTATTTCCATAAGTTGCCATTATGTGGCATGTCTTTTTGCACTGTGAATCTGTGATGTATTCGATATCAGAAACGGGAATTCAGATAAGTAAGATTGAACACTCATTTGGTGTTAAAGCTGTTCATATCTAACAATGGCCTGAATGGACCATTGAAGTACTCTAATAGAGATAAGAAGATAAGTACCAAATGGCGAAGGAATACTTTCGGCCACTCCCCAGGTGTAGAACACCAAAAATGACAGCGACAGCCAAGGCACTCCTCCAATTAGATCCAAAAAGTGGTAGCAGTGCACCCCGGAAAAGAAGTTCCTGCCCAACCAATGCACCATGAATGAATGCAAAATGAGTTGAACAAGCAAGAATGGTAAAGATACTACAATGTGATGAAATGTATTTGCTTACCTCACTGATCCCTGGCAAAAACGTGACGATTATGTAATCTAAAGGTTGAAGTGAACTTAGGACCTAAGTTACAAGAGAAGATTTATGTCAGAGATGCAGAAGCAGCTATGGATAATACTCTCACATAAAGGGATCCGAATAAGCAGCAATGGGGAACTGAGTTACTATAATATCAACTAGGCTCTTTTGTGTCTGAGTATACAAGTTTAAAATGCTGTTGAGACATTCCTCAACATGTTATCCAGAAATCTAATTAGCTAGTGTTGTGGAGACAACTATTGACTGCGTACGGTATCATTTACGGCTCTTTTGAGTCCCTGCAGATGTGCTAGAGCAGAAAGTTGATACCTGCTGATTGGCCGCTTCGCTAGATTCTGCAAAATCTGGCCATGTCTTCAACAGGAGATATCGGCATAATGATATCACAATAACTAATCCTGTAATCAACTCAAGATGCCACACCTCAAAATCAACTGCAGGATAGGGGAGATAAGAGTTATGCTCTTTAAACAAATGAAACAACTAACCCAGCCAATGACATAAAAAGCCAAAACTAAAAAAGTTAAAGAGAAGAAAGCAATGGAAAGTTGATCTTACAACGGTATGGGTTTTCCTCCATTATCTACAAAGTATTCAATTAATGTTTCTCATATCTACCTTCTTTTCGGGGCCCTAGTAATCTATATCCTGTTATTAAAAGTTTACCCAACTATAGGTCACCTACATTCAATATGACTCGACCTTTCCATGATATAAGACTTGAGATTGAGACAACCTACTCTAGATAGACAAATCTTGCTTACATGCTATCTCTTTCGCAAAGATCCTGGGGCTCTTTCTTATCCAAGAGAATGAAAATAAACTGTAAATTGACAAATCTATTCAAAAGAGTATGTGAAAGTTCATACATGAGACGTCCAATGAGCAGTCAAAGACTGGCAACCCTTCAATTGATGCAACATGAGATGCCTGCAAGTTGCAGATAGGAAATAAAAATAAAAATTCACATTGTTTAAAAGTTCAGCAAAACTCCACCCACAGTTTCCTGTTCATTTGACTAAAATTGAGAGCAATGATCTACTTTAGATTAGTATGTCACAACTGTTAACTAGTAACAAGAACTCGGGCCTCAGGATTTAACTTTCAATTTGTAATTCAGTTTCTTATGGAAGATCTGTGTGGGGTCATGAGCATGACTAGACAATGGTCAGGGGAAAATATGTTGGTTTTATCAGACAATATGAACTTTTAGTACATAAAGTAACCAGAAACAATGACAATTGTGTCACAGGAAGAAGATAGAAAGTGCAGTGCAGTGTAGCCTGTTTGTTCTGTAAGGTCCAAAATGAATATCTAAGTCTACAAAAAACCTGGCCTATGATCCTGTTCTCTTCGTTTAAATAGTCCATCAAAATATACTGCCTAGTAGAAGAAGACAGAAAATAAAAGATGTTCTCAAAAGGGTAAAATAGGAAAAGGAAAACAATTTATTCACATATCACCATTAGAAACTAGAAAAGAGGCAAGAACGTTAAAAACTATTAGGTGAACGTAAAACCTTGATCCAAGAAGACATTAAGTAAATTGTACCTGTCGAATTATTATACCCAAAGCAGCTATCAACCCAGAAGTAACCGTGCAAGCCTGAAGCACAGCACCTCTGGGAGGGAATGCAACCAATTCCTCTGCAGCTAAATTATCAGAAGGGTCCACCTTGTTGTCAATTTGAACATAATCATCTTCAGTAGCAGTGCTCTTATCTGCTACTCTTTTCCGTGCTTCCCCATCCCTCCTTGATTTCTTCACCGAATTCCGACTTGCAAAAGCTCTTGGGCTAATTGCAACTCCCTGCCAAGACAGAAAAGCACAATTGTACTAAGATTATAACGGCTGAAAACTTGAGTGTCTTTCCTAAGACTACAGACCAAACAGTGTAAAAATGAAAGCCTCACACTGCATGGTTTGGCAGATAAAACCTTCTGCACATCATAGAGGCCAACAAAATTCCCACCTGACCAAATGTTTCAACATTTGTACAATCAAAGCAAGAAGCAAAATCATAAACGCCAACCAAGAATTAAGCAAAATGATGCATAAGATAGATAGTGAGCTAATCTCTTAAACCCAGGACAAACCCAGAAACATAGAAAAAAATTCAAGCAGTGTGAAAAGACTAACTGATGAAGATAGAGCTTCCCCAACTCAAGGGGGTTGTAAAGGCGGCATTGTTTACTGTAGACCGCCAAAAGTTCACAGCGAGCGAACCCATTGGATGATAGCAGGCAGGCAGGCAGGCAGGCAGGCAGGGCAGAGTCCTGTCAAAACCAAGTTCGTAAATTCAACTTCACCAGAAAAACCAAGTCCATAAATTAAATTGAAGCTCGCTTAGATTATTCATTTGAACAACAGAAAAAATGGCAACTGAAGATTAAACGAACGAACCTCTTTAGTTTTGCGTGGAATTATGCACCTCTTTGAGTGCTCCTTAAAGAGAAAAATCTATTAAAAATCCGGTGCTTAGAACTGGAAGCATGAGAACGACCGGAGCTGAAGACCCAAGATTGAACAACCAACGACTAACAGACCATGTAAAGCTTCGTGCTTTTTATGATTAATTTTGTTGTTTGTTTGTTTTTTTTCCGTTTTAAGAATATACTGCTGCCACGTGGATCGTTGAAGGTAGCAGAAATGAGAGGCCATGCATTTCTGGTGTGCCCACTGTGTTTTACGGTTTCTAAATCCAGTCTTTTGGATTTATCAAATGACAACATATAATAAAATCCAGTATTTTGGGAAGCATATGGCAAGGCAAGGGCAGATTAAATAGAAGTATTATGCTGGTTGGTAATTGGTGTTACTACTTTAATGTAAAAAATATGCACAAAGATTGAAAGTACTGTCGCTAGATTCACTACAAAGATTTCTGGTTCATCTGTCATATATCAAACTACGATTAAACAAAACAAATAACTGACAAAAGTGGAAAAAATAATAATAATAATAATTCCACGGCCATAGAGCCATTTGATCCTCTGCAACCTAAAAATGTGATTGCAGAGAATTAACTTGGGGACGGGACATATATGCAAAGCGAAAGAGAAGAATGACAAAAAGGCTATGATACATTTTGCTTGCAGACCCAAAATGAGAAACAATCAGACTTGGTTACAAAATGGTTCCCAGCAGCCACAGATGCAAGAAGAGCCAGTAGGCAATAAGGCCTAGCCTTGCCCTTGGCCGACTCATCAAAACTCGACCACCAGATACCCTGTATATATAGAATGAAGCACCTTAGTAAAGATTTCCTGTAATGTATTTCTGAAAAAACTAAAAAAGATAACCTAGCAGGAATTGGTACTGTCCATCCCCACCCTCTTCTTTATGTAATAAGTTTAAAGTTCAGCACTTTACCAAATTCCATCAATTCGATCTGCAATCAACTTTCCTTGTCTTGGAATGAGACCAGATGCATTGAGAGACGTGAATACATGACCTGGAAGAGGGCAAGAAAAGAAAAACAAAAGAAATAAGTTTACCAGGCCTTAAAACTACTAGGAACGACAGACAAATACTAAAGTGCAAACCTTTGTCCTCGTCAGTTTCTGCACTGTTGATTAAATGCGTAGATTCAGAACCAATATCAATTGTGAGATGGTCAGTTGAACCCTTCCGCATGGTTCTCACATGAGCTGCAGATGGTACGGAAGATATCGTGTTCTTTCCAACTGGCCCCTGAATATAATTGATTTACAAACAACTTCAGTTGTTACATATGCAGGAAAATATTTTATAAAGATGTCGAAACAAAACTACTGACACATTTCATCTTTAAAGCACATATTCCTCAACACACAACTAACTTGATGAGCCTATACCTCAATCACCTACCGAAGTTTATATTGATTTTACCTTAAAACACATTAACTGGAAAAAAATGGCATCACATAAATCAATATTTACCACATCTTCAATTTCAGATATCTCGGAACCAGTAGGCAATGAAGGTGCTTCAAAGATGCTCCTTTCCTGAACAATCTCTTGCTGAGCAGGCCTTACTTGATGTGAATCTTGAAGTACATTAACCTTGGTTGATAATTCCTCCACAAACTTTTGGCTCTCAACCAACTTAGTACCAAGTTCCTGGGCTTTTGATTTTGAATTTTCAGACTCCAATTGTAAAGCCATAACCTGCTTCTCTAATACTGATAGAAGTCCCATCACACCAGAAGATTTCTGATCTCCAACTAAATCATTACCTCCCGACATATCTATAATTTTTTCCAAACTATATATGAGCACAGACAGTTCGCTTTTCATCTTCTCTGTATCTTTTCTATCTCTGTCATAATGTTCAACCTCCTCCTTCAGTTGTCCAATTTCAAGCATCCTAGTCCCAAGAGTTGACTGCAGTTCCTCTTTTTCATGAGACAAAAAGCTTATCTGATTCTGAAGGTTAATAATATTATCAATAACATAAAAGAGCTTCTTTACATGAGCTGAATCATGCAGCTCCAAATTTCCTACTTCTGACTCTGGCATAGGGATTTCAATCCCTCTGATCTTGTCAAAGAGGGTTTTGACTTCAGATGCTGACAGGAGGGAGTCTTCAGCCTCTGAAACAAGAAAATGTGAACAAATGAGTCATTAGAGCAGTTACAGTCATTAGAACAGCAAAGTAGATATGTTCAGCAACATCAGGAAAAGGAAAAGAAAGAAAAGATTAAGATCTTTACCTTGTTCTTTCATTAGCAAAGTATTGTACAGGATTTGAGCTTCTGCTTCCTTTTCCTTAAACTTATCCTCTTTTGCTTGATAATCCTCTAGTCTAAGCGTCAGCTTGCTGCATGAATTCTGTAATGCTTCTATATCAGCATCCAACTTGGAAATCCTATTTTGTCCTAGATCCCTTTCTTCCATGGCTTTTTCAGAAGTTGTCCTAGCTTCAGCTAGTTTATTCTGTAATGCTTCTATATCAGCATCCAACTTGGAAATCCTATTTTTTCCTAGATCCCTTTCTTCCATGGCTTTTTCAGAAGATGACCTAGCTTCGGTCAGTTTATTCTGCAAATCTTCAATTGTAGAGGCTGCCACTTCACTTGTGCTCTCAAACTGTTTAATCAAAGCTTTAACTTTTCTAATAGAAACTGACAACATTTCTGCTGTTTTTCCATATTTGCTGCCGTCTAGAGCTTGCTCATGTGTTTCTGTGCCCTCTCCAGCAATTACTCCTCTTTCTGGGGACAAATAATGTCTTAAATCTTCAAGCTCAGGAACAGAGCTCAATTCAAGTAAATTGTTCTTGACTTCAAACTGAAGTTCTCTGGTAGCATCAGTACATGCAGAGAGTAGAGACTTGAGATCATTTTCTAAAATGGCTATTGTATTCTCCTGTTCTTGTTTATATATTTCCAGATTATTTGCCTTTTGTTTAAAAGATTCCGTGTGCTCAACCACAGTTACTATTTCATCCCTTATTGCCTTTAATTTTCTCAATAGAGTTGCAACACACTCATCTGTAGAAAAAGAGAAGCGTTCAAAATTTTCTGCAAGAATATTGTTTCGCAACTGGAACCTTTCCACCGTCTTCTTCCAACATGAAGACACATCTTCGACATCTGTAACATTGTTCTCACCATTATCCTTTTCAACACTGGAAATACTGTCAAGACATTCTGAGAGAGATTTTGTCACATATGAATCCTCCTGGAATAAGTAACAAAAGGAGCTCGTTAGAAAATGAAAAGAAGTCAAGTTCTTCTTGAAAACATCATCCATTCTGACAGAAAATAAGAGACCTTCACAAATTTTTGAGACATTGGGGATTGTTCATCATATGACATTCTAATTATAAAAGAATTTGATTTTATCAGAGCCAAAAAAAAACTAATATCAAATTTGAGGACCATGTTCGATTGGCATGTCAAAGTATTGAGAACTATTACCAAACATATTCTTCCTGGGCATAAATATGAAATTGACAAAAAAATAATAATAAAAATAATAGAAAACTAGAAAAAGGCGAGATCTAAATGCCGATGGATTCTGGTCCACCAATACAGCATGCACAAAAACAAAAATAAAGTGAGCACTAAAGAAGAAAACGTATTATATACCTCCAATACTTGGTGTCTTTGCAATTCTTCTAAACCCATGGAAACACAATGGTCCGATATATTTTTAAGAATCAGATCCATATCTTTCAGGCTCTCAAATCTCTTCCCAAAACATCTTTTCATAGTGGACAACAGAGTCTCATCCTTCATTAAGAGTTGAAGTTTTTGAAGGTCACCACTGAACTCTATGGACCTGCTTTCTATGCTGCCATTAGTTCCAGACAACTCTTCCATGCATGCATTTAACTTGGAATTAAGTGTTAATATTTCCTCTTCAGCATTTTTCTTTCCACCTTCAAGTACAGTAATATCATTCCCTGCCTTCAGCAATGCATCTTCCAGTGATTTTATGGTTGCACGGGCATCTGCTAGCTTGTTATCATGGAACCCAGCTTCCTCTTGGAGTTTCTTTAGCTCAACCTCTAAATCGGTTCTACCAATTTGAAAATCATTGTTTTGTTCAGTAAGTAAAGAAACATTGGCCTGTGCCTGCGATAGGGAATCTTCGAGTAACTTTATGGTCTTGTAGGCCTCTGTTAATTTGCTTGTCTGAATATCAACTTCCTCTTTCACTTTCTCTAGCTCTGTTTCTGCAGTAGCTCTACTGACCAAAGCCCCTTCTTTTTCACTGACAAGCACAGATACATTATTTTCTGCAAGTGACAATGCCTCTTCCAGTGACTTTTTAGATGCACAAACCTCACCAAACTTGCTAGCCTGGGCCATAGCTTCTTCAATTGCTTTCTCTAACTCTTTTTCAACATTGGTCTTATCCACTTCTATTTCCCTCTTTTCTTCAGCAAGTTGAGATATATCATTCTTTGCAACTGACAATTCATCTTCCAGAGATTTTATGGTTGAGTGGGCTTCTGCTAACTTAGCAGCCAGATTACTGGCTTCCTCTTTTACTATCCCCAACTCTTGCTGTGCGTTTGCCTTGGCATCTTGACATTCATTCATGTACCCTGCAAGCCAGTTTACCTTCCCCACAGGCTCTTCAAAATCTGACTCAATAGGAAGAACAATGGCATCAATAGATTCAATTAGTCTCAGTAACATGTTATTGCTCTCCAGTAAGAACTGTTCAAGTTGATCCCGTTGTTCCTTCATAGAAACAAGATCAGCATCTAACTTTGTGATGCGGTCTACATCAGTAGACAAACTACCTATCTTATCCCTGCATTCAGCAAGTGCAGATTGTTGCTGCTGTAATTCATGCCTTAACTTCTCAATTTCCGAGTTCTTTTCATCCAAAAGATGTTTCAAGTTTTCCCGGTCTTGAACCAGTCCCTTACCTTTCTTGACTGCCATGGACAACTTCTCCCTTAGCACAGTATTTTTCTCCTCTGATCGTTCAACATCTTTCTGCAGGGACCCTTTTTCCTCTTCCAATGCTACAAGTTTTTGAGATACTGCCTGGAACTTATTTGACAGATTATTCACCTCTGACCTCACCAGCATCTCCTCTTCTAGCATATTCTCATACAGCATCAACTTCTGATCCCTTACATACAGGTGGCTTTGAATTGTTTCAAACAACTCAGCATCAACCTTTGGAGAATCAAGTAAGGCACTACTCTGTTCTTTTATCTTGCCAATGCATCTGTCAATGAGCAAGACATTGTCCAATGAAGGCTGATAAACCTCTTCATTGTCCACCACAACTCCAGAGGCATCAAGTAACATCCTGATCATCTCAGCCTTCTCTAAAGAAACCAGTTGCTCTTTCTTGACAATATCTTGGTATTCAGATGTCAGAGTGTCCAGCTCTGCTTGGAGATATTCCTTTGCCTGCAATTCAGCTGAAAGTGAATCGGTTAATTGGTCGATATTTTTCCGTGCCACTTCCTTAGTTGCAGTAATTTCATCACGCAACATGATCACTTCATCTTTGGCCTGAGAAAATGATTCCCTAAGCCAATGTACTTGAGACTCTAAGTTAGAAGATGAAATAACTTCTGGTAGGTCAATTGCATACATAGCCGCCTTCAAGCTTTGGAATTCCAGGGAAATGGCCTTGAGTTTACCATTTTCATCCATAAGCCATCGAAGTCTCTCTAGCACATCCATAGATTGAAGTTCTTCAGGTACACCAGTCTGAGACAAAATTTCCTCAAAATTTTCAAGAATTACATTTTTTTGGTATAGTATTTCTTGCAGTGATGCAACCGAATTTTCATTTCTAAGTAATTCCTCCTTGCTTAATTCAGCAGCTTCAAGTGCATTTGATTTCTCTTGCAATTCAATGAAACACTTCTCAAGCTCACTCATCTTTTCAGCAAGGGACTGCTTCAATGAGTCCCTTTGCTGTACCAATGCCTTTCCTTTTGTCACAGCCATAGTAAGCTTCTCTCTTGTATTAGCGCACCTATTCTTCTCCTGCTCCAGCTCCATTTTTGTTTTTCCTAGATCTTCACTCACTGTCTCAACAATCCCTTTTTGATTGTCAAGTTCTTCAATCAATTTCCTATTTTCATCTTCTAGATGGCTCAATCTTTCAACAAACTCTGCTTCCTTTCTTTTGAGCACAAGTAACTCATTACGGACAGTAGCAAAAATCCCCCCTAACTCCTGCGAACTAAGATCTTCCCTGGCCTCCGGCAAACACTGTCTAAGTTGTTCAATTTCAGAAAGCATCTGGGTGAACTTCTCAATTAGCATAGAAGTGCCTTCCTCAACATGTACTAATTTTCCACCAAAAGAACCATCCACCATTTCTTGTTGGTTAATTACACCCCTAAGGGAAGCCAACATCCTGTTTGTTACAACTTCAAAATGTGCATCCTTCTCAATCTGAGCCTCAGATGATACTTCCACAGACCTCTGAGCAGAATTCAAAAAAATTGCGACAACATCATTCAATACTGAAAATTCATTGACCTTCGCATTTAGTTCCTCAATTTCTTGATCCTTCTTAAACACAAATCCATCAAACTCCCTTACCGTGGCCTCAGTCTGCAGTTTTTTTTCTAAAGCCGTTTTAACAAGCCCAGAACACTCGTTCATCAATTCACTCCACCGGGTACCAGTACCGTTATAATTTTCCCCACTTTCTGCCTCATGAATAAAATTACCACTTTCACCAAGCGATGCATGTTGATCAGTGAGAGCCTTCAGCTGTAACCGAAGAGTAGCAACTTCTCTGGCAAAAGCCTCCCTTTCTTCCTTTAGTTAAACAAAAAACAGCAATTATTACCGAAAACACAAAAATTACTTGAAAAGCATCGATCTTTTTTTATTAAAAAAGAAAACTATCGACCTCGAATTGGAACGCAAAACTTTCTTTCTCGTCAACTGTGCTTTCCAGTAACTCGTCAACCGTGCTTTCCAGTAAAGCACGCAGGCGTTCCACCTCATCCATGGCGTAATCGTCCGAGCAATCAACGAACTCCTCTTTCCCCGACTCCTCTGTCACTTTCCCGTTATCTCCCGAAACACTGTTATCATCTTCTACCGGGACCGTTACCGGTGGCACGGAGCCTAATTCCTGCAATTAAAAACCGATACCCTAGCTTTATGCAACAGATCAAATTGAAACGAGACCGTCGCAAATTGCAATTCTCAAAATTCAATTACCTGATTCACTAGCCCAACGACGTCATCGTGAATTGCTTTTGAATCTTCGGCTAACCCATTTGCAATTTGGCTGCTTTGAATCCCTTGATCTCCCTGTGCCACAGCTGCAAAACCTTCCTGAACCTGCCCTGAACCACCGTTCTCAGGCATCCCAATGGCTCATACCCAATCGCTACCCTCTCCGCAATAAGGCTCGGATCCGAAATCCAACCAAAAACACGCTATGAATCCCTAAATCGGCAGAAATCAATCCAAGAGCTATAAATTTGTCCGGGACCGAAGTTAAAACCCTAGGAATGGAGATTGAAGATTCGGGAACCGACACGGAATTATCAAATTTGACCCGTGGATTTCCGTACAGTACAGAAGAGGTAGGTTTACGAATCGGATTGTGTTGGATTTGAAGAAGACGAACCACTTCCGGTCCGGTGGTGTATCTGATCTTGCAGGGACTCTGCCTGAGGAGCTGACTGCTTTTACTCGCGCGCGCTCTCTCTCTCTCTCTCTCTCTTCGTCTGTCGGTCTCTTACTTTCCTCCGTTACTTCTTCCGTTATTTTTACTGTACAAGGACCACCGTTACTGTTTCATTCTAGCTTCCTCTCCTTTTTACTTGATGAAAAATTAATGTTCGTATGGTGCGACTGTTATATTAAAAAAATTATCTTAAGATGCAATAGACTTTCCTTTTTGCTAATATTATTAATTAATCTTTTTTTAAGAACATTATTAATCAATCTTTTTTATTTTTTTGGAAATTATTAAATAATCTTTTGTTATTAGCATATTAGCATGTGTTGAATTTAAGTTATAGTTTGAATTTTATATAACAATTTATATGTGAAATATATTCATAAGTCAAGCAAAGAGGACAAGGTTACGCAAGGCATATTTGGGTACTGATAACAAAAAGTTGGATCCAGCACATCACATCTATGCTGGGAAGACTTTCAACTTTGCTACATTCAAGTGTTCTAATAGATATACAAAATTGCTTCCTTTCTTTGTTTGAGGAACGTTTTTTTATTGAAAAGAGCGATAATATACTAAACTCACACACACAACAACATGGATGCTATGACCAGGAAACTGCATACTTTTGCAAGGTTACAAAACTTGGAAGAAAGTCTCAAATTCGGAATTGTTTATAAATTAAAAATAAAACAAATAAAAGAACTTGTGCAAACAGCCTGAAAGTCTGTTCTTTTTTAATTGTCTGGCCGTAGTAGACGAATCTTATAGACGGTACTATAATGCGGCTAAAAGATAAACGTCACGGGATTAGCTCAAGTGTTGGTTGGTATTAGTTTTCAACACAATAATGATGTTTTTGTGTTTTAAACGTTTCTGGCAGTGCTGATTTTCTTTTCTAGTATTATTATATCTTGCATTCCGAACAAACCTGGAAATGGTTTCAAATGTGTCGAGTGTTCTAGTAAGCAAATGTTAAAAAAAATCTTAAAACAATTTGATTCAATTTATAATTTTATATCTTGCATCACAAAGAAAGAAGATCAAACCCATTTTGCCAAATTGATGATGCCTCTTCTCCCTAATGAAAGTCAAGTGGTTCACCAAAAGCAGCACAGCTGCAGATACTTCACATGTAAAGAACTGATATATAAGAGCTTTTACCAAAAGCTATTTCAATATGGCTGCAAGTTTCATTACCTGATTCTAAGGTGACTAGCTTCTGAAAATTTGCTACAGAAAAAGAACAATCATGTGCACAAATTGAAATCAAAATGGTGGCCGCATTTATGACAAACCCACTCTGGCAAAACTCAGACGTGAAGCCACACCACAATGAGTTTTGCATGGGTTTTCTCCTCAGTAACTTTAGCCATTCAACAAGAGTAAGTTACAGAATTGTATTCCTACATTAACAAGTGTATTTACATGTGCTTATTAATGGAATTTTAACAAGTCAGTAAGGTAACGGAACTCAGTTCTGAAAATGAAAACTGTGATATTACTAATGATGATGTAGTCTTACACTGACTTCTAAGTTTTAAATATGCGTAGCACTGGGAACTGTTATTTTGTGTAAAAATCCAATAGAAGTTCCTTACCGGATTCTATTTACATTTGACAGCAGGCTCTTTTCTATCTGTACACCATTCTTCGTTTTCTTAGAACAAATTAGAGTACTCGTAATACACCAAGAAAAGGGCATCTGGGTAATCTTTTGGCAGGCTGTTGATATAGAGGTAGAAACGCAACAAATCCTCCTTAGAAACCGTTTCAGTGTCAACCACATCTTCATTGCAAGTGAGCACCCATAAGTCTTGAGAATTAACTCTCTTTATATTACCGCGACAAAAAGGGCAAGACTCTGACTTTCGATTCCTGCAATTTAGAAACAAAGCATTTCATGTGCAAAGAAAAAATGAATCTTTAGAAAAACAAGCAGTCATGATAAAAGCAATATATAGGGGATACATATGAAGGCTTGTACTTACCAATTGCGGTAGCATTTGATGCACATTGCATGACAGCAATTAGGCAAGACCACTTTGGTGCAAGGCTCCAAACAAATTCCACACTCCTCTTCTCTCTCCAACTCAGCATTGACAAGGCTACCATCTCCTCTAATCATCTTCTTTCCGGAGCTTTCCATGCTAGGATACCCTTCCTTAGCATCGTCTAACTCCCCCAAATCCCCATGAAGCCGCTGAAGAGATGGTAAGATTACGGCTGAAATTCAGTTTTTGACAAAGCAAATGAAGTTAGAATCAATTTAGTTGAGCACAACTAAGTGTGACATTCGAAGATTTCAATGATGAATTAAAAAATAGCCAAATTTAACATACAATAGAAATCTCTTATAGTTGCTTTCCTTCCATGGGTTGATATGGTAGGCCTGCCATCTGTGTATACCTGTATCAGATAAAAGAGCAAATAATGAAAAGGCATGCCCAAATTAGGGAGAGCAACAAAAGCAAATTCCTTTTCAGTAAGAACTAATAGACTAGAGATTAGAGAAGAGGAAACCACCTTGTAGACAAGTATGTGGAAGAAATTTAGATATCTTGGGAGTAGACATGTGCATGAGCAATCAATCCACTGTAACAAAAACAGAAAGAGGGGAGCCAAGTGATTGTAAACCAATTTCATCTGAAAACGGGCACCGCCCTTGCCTCTTGGAATTGCAGCAGCTCTGTACGTAATCCAAACCAAAATCAGAATTACTAGTACGGCACAAGTTGCTAACTTTACAATTCAATCAGATTACTCAACCATGACCAAGTCTGAACCCAAAAAAAATAAATAAACAACTTCGTTCCTACACCAATGCTCTTTGGACTTGAAAAGGGAAAAAAAAATTCCCAAATTGGCAAATAGACAAAGGGTATAACTTAGGTCTGAATATGTAATAGACAATCCCATATGGGTTTTAGAACTTGACCAAAAAAAATCCCATATGGGTTTTGCTTTTTCTTGCCTCAATTGACAAATTATGATGTTGATCATGAGGATCAGATTGCCTAAATAAAGACTTGCAAAATTAAAAGATAAAACTACCCACTTGGGGAAAAGGATATGCAAAAAAACTAAAATAGGAACCAGAGTAATTGAAACAAAAACAAAGAAGTTCCAGAGAAACAAAGAACTCACAGAGAATTAGCATGCTGTATATCAGCCTCCAGAACATTCAAGGATTCCTGGTAAGAAGGCTGGTAATATATCATCTCCATCACAAACTCTATCTCTTGCGTAACAAAGATACAAAGAACAGAGAGCAAAAACTCCCCTCTATTCTCAGACTATCAAGTAAACAAATGAACACCACAAACAAAGTTCTCTCCTTTTCTCCTTCAGAGAACTTAAAAACCAGCCCTCACCTCACCAGAAAAAAACAAAACAAAGCAAAGAGAGGGGCACAGAGGTTTCTTTCCCAAGGCTTTTCTCTTTATCCTTTTCTCAGAAGGGTCGGCTCTCTGAGAACGACTGTTTTCGGTGTTGGCTGCTTTATATGGTCAGAAATGGAATACGCAACAAGGAAAATACGTCTTTTGCTACGAGGATGATGAGGATGATGTTTTTATTAGGAATTTGGGATGCCCTCCATTTAATTTACGTTCTTATCATAATCTTTCCCTATATTTGGTGCTCTTTTTAATATTGCCAAGGTACCTTTTGTTAGCTTTCATCTGATTTTTTTAATGATATGCATCATTATTTTCATATGGTTATGATGACTAATTTCATGTATTTTCAAATCAACCCTTGTTTATGTATATAATTTATTTGTAGTGGGTTTCTCTCGTGTGTACGATTGAATGAATGGCTTCATCATGCAATCATCTGAACCACTCGATCAAAGGGTCCACTTTGGAAAGCTTATCCATGGACTGAAACACATCCGGTGGAGAATCCCATAAGGAAGCAATATAAAATGTTGCATTATGAAATTATTATTGTGGTGGCTGCCTACACACACAAACAACAAATCCTTAAAATTTTGGTATAAAATTTTGGTCAATTGCTTCTCTAACCTAAGAATGGGGTCTACTATCCAATTTAAAATTAAAAAGAATGGGGTCGAATCCCATTTTCTTCTTGTGGGGGTTTTTTTTTTCCTTTTCTTTTTGGTTTATACCTTTTTATATCTTATTCTTTTGGCCTTCCTTCCTACCAACATTTTACATTTGTTTAATTAATTACATTGTTTTTCCCCCTTCCACAACATAATGAATATAATCCTTTTTCTTTTCTTTTTTTTTTTCACGCCAATTATTATGGCATGGCTTAATTTAGGCAAACTTTTTTCACAAAGAAAAAGAAGACCTTTCTCTGTTTAAGAGAAAAAAAAATATGAAGTTGCGGAAAATTCCTAGTGAACGTCACTTTCGAAAGATATTTGGGGGCAAGTGGTGACAACACTGGAGCAGTAGCTAGCCAACCCAATGGGTACAGTTTTGCGAGATAACCGCCGCTTTGATGGATTTCCTCACTCTAATTTTATACACTTACATTTTTTTTTTAATTATAAAATAGAGTGTAAGTCAATAAAATTATAGTGGGGAAATCACCACTCTACATTTATATGCTTTTTAAGTGCAGGTCTTTTCCCCATTGAAGAAAAACTAAGGATTTTGCTAATGTTAATCGCCTGAGTACGAGGGCAAGTGTGCATCACACAATAACCCATAGTACAGTGGCATAGCTCTTTAGTAGTATACGATGTGATATGCATCAGAGTAAGGCGGTCCCATTTTGTTTCGAGGCATTGATAGCTTTGACTTTTACACAAAAAGCTTAAGTCTTTTTTAGTAAGGCATACACTTTTAAATAAGGCGTGGGCTTTTGTAGTTTTTTTTAAAAACAAAAACAAAAGAAAGCCCAAAACGAAGTCGTATTGGGTAAGGGTTTTTAAACGCCAAAAAGAACCCAGCCCCCGACTCGACATTCATCCTTTCTTACGACTCCTGGACAAGCCCAACGTGATGCAACTCCTTTCTCCTCCATCATCCAGTCGCTAGTTTTCATATTTCATCAAAGCCCATTCACTTAGCTACAAAGGAAAGTAATTTTTAGCATCTGTAGAAAAAGATTACCAACTTTCTTCAATATTTCTTTCAATTTTCGCATGTCCTAGGTAACCCACTTTTTCTTTTTC